TCGCAAAACGAGACGTCTATCGCAGAGGATTCGCGAGCACATCCCGGCGTGGTTTTACAAAGGCGAAATGAGGTCCTCAGACAGCTCAATCATGTTGCACCTCCTCGAAAGTGGCCATACTGCATCTGAGAATAACTTTAAAGTCATCTACTCCCAACCTGAACGCTTATCGCAAGGCTTCCGAAAGCAAATCTTGTCTATTGCCGAGGCTGTTTACATCCATCACCTGAAGCCGGAATTATGTGTACATAAACGATTCATACGGCCGATACTATCACCGTGGCCGACTGACATGGTAGCTTAACTACCCTTTGTGACGTTACGTACTTACTTTAGGATGCTGAGGCTTGTGTATTAAGTTTCCTTTGTTGCACTTTTCTTGCAGTCTGACGCCGCATTTAGTCATCGAACCTGACCGTTTAAACACCTTAGAAATCAATCCCAGCCCGATTTGACGCTTACCCCACGCAATCCGTGTTATGTAAATGTTGGGGTCTGAAGAGAGTTTACCGAAAAGAATTCTTAACCCTGAACTGATTTTTTGTTCTCGATTCATCTGATTGCAAAGAAGACTCAAGCTATGGCTTCATGCATGTACCGCGTTCACTGTATTTGCGGCAATAAGCGCACTGGTTAAACTGACGGAGGAGAATCTACAGAAATTTCTGAGCACATCTCGCGTTCTGTTTAAGCAATGTCGTATTTTAAAAAACGGCACTTTAAACCCAATGGATACCGCTCGGGTGGGTGTCCTAACGACAGGCGGTCTAAAGCTTAAACGGTAAGGAACCAATCAGTCTGCAATACATATTTTTCACAAGTCAAAAACGAGATGAAAATTGACTGTCATGTGAAGGAATTAGGCTGATATTTCGTTCCAAGTTAGCTGTTTAGAGCAATGCGAAACGTGAATGAATCGAATGGAGTAACCGACAAATAAGCAAAAGCGAATAAATGTGAAGAGCGACGTGACCGCTAGTAAATCAGAGTAGCAGGATGGGGTGGTCTTTTATCTCCAAACGACTGGGCTGGCTTGCCGAACCACCTCCTCGTGGTGCCAGCTAGGTGGTTCGGTTGTACCCCGTTCCAAAAAGGTGTTCGGCGACAATGTTCCACCTCGGTGGGACATTGTATTCCAGCAGGTGTGCTGACTTCATGGGGAGTATTGGGCCCCTGTTTGGTAAGCTACCAAACAAAGACGCATGAACTGAACATTCAGTCAACGCCTCCCAATGGGCGCGATTCTTTAAATTCGTCCCGCTGCCTTGCGGGTAGGTTATTTAGCCAAAGGCTCGGTGTGGAGTCCCCTAAATCAACTCCCTACTTTGGCTTGAGCAACCGGGTAGTATCACACCCTCTCAAAAAACATGGACTGTATTACAACTTGCTCACCAGCTGATGTTTCTGCTAGCCACTTTCACGCGACTTCATCACATGCCAATTGTTTGTTTGTTAACAATCCTCACTTTCCGTTACCCGATTCATGTGTTCAACAATCTGGCTGCGATTCCGGTTGCGCTGCGTACCACGGAGTTCAACCTATGGCTCTCCTTCGTCCCCGATCCTCGTTCCGTATGGTGTGCTTCAACGTTCGGACACTCATGCAGATTGGACAGCAAACCGGTCTAACGCGCACCCTAGATTCCCTAAACATTGATGTCTGCTGCCTTTCAGAGACCCGATTGCAAGATCCCAGCACTGTGCTTACTTTGACATCCCCCACTGACCACGAAGCCAGATATCACCTGCGTCTTTCTGGAGATACAGAAACAGCCTCAGCGGGTCTGGCTGGTGTAGGTATAGCACTGAGTGACAAGGCCGAGGCGGCACTACTGGACTGGCTCCCTGTTAACAGCCAACTATGTGCAGTTCGGCTTCGGGGTTCATGTAGAATTAACAGGCACCGCGAAGAGACACAACTTGTATGTGATCTCCGTGTACGCTCCAACTGACTGCAGTGGCGGCTCTGTCAAGGACGAATTCTACCGGGATCTACAACAGATCTAATGCCAAAAAGTCGGATGTCGTTATCCTTGCTGGGGATTTTAATGCACGGGTTGGCCGCCTGTTACCATACGAACGCCACCTTGGTGGTCATCACTCGCTCGATGAGAACCGCTCTGATAACGGAGAGAGACTTCTCACATTGTGCGAAGACAACCGTCTGTTTATTTCGAGCACTAACTTCAGGCGTACGAAGAAGCGTTCCACAACGTGGCGTCCCCCTTCTTCAACACAACCGTGGTCTCAGATTGATGACATTGCAATTATCTTCAGATGGCGCGGCAGCGTACTGGACTGCAGGTCCTTTTGGTCCACCTTCGTTGACTCAGATCATGCGCTGGTCTGCGCGAAAATCTGTATATGTTTTGGAGGATCCCGCAACACGAAGCACCGAAAGATTTATGTAAACAGATTAACTGATTCCTCTATCCAGGCGAGCTATCAGTCCTCACTGGCATATGCACTCAGTTGCAATTCACCGTAAGAAGTGGAACAACACTGGACGTGCATACGGAAGGCGATGAGCATTTCCGGACAGTCATGCTGCGGCCTAACTCGATGCCCCTTGAAGGCTTGGATCTCTGCTCGTTCTCTGGAGCTGTTCGAACGCCGCAAAGATATCCTCGCGGAATCAGATTGCAACGAGCGGCGCCGTTCTGCCAACCGGCTGCTCAAGCAAAGCCTACTCAAGGATCGCGAGACATGGTGGTCTGAGCGTGCTATAGAGATGGAGACCGCTGCCCTCTCTGGCAACACACGCAGGCTTTTTCAACTCATTCGGTCCACTGGCCTCAGGAAGTTTGGTGTCAGTGACGTCATTTGTGAGGTGGATGAATCTCCGATCACCAACCAACAGAGGTGTATGGACCGCTGGGCCGAGCACTTTCACTCACAGTTTAACTGGCCTCCACCATCCATCAGTACATGCAGTACACGTTGTTGTCCACCCTGGCTCGTCCCACTGAATCCACCCAGCGAAGCGGAAGTCGGCCTTGAGATTCGACGCTTGAAGCGCTTCAAGGCTGCCGGCTTAGACGGACTTCCTCCGGAACTATTCAAGTACGGCGGTGTGGCGATCATTAATCAGCTGACCGCGCTGTTCGCAAAAATTTGACATAAAGAGAAAGTGCCTTCCTCTTGGGGCGAATCAGTTATTGTCCCGATTTTCAAGAAAGGCGCTCGCACTTTATGTGCAACTCATCGCGGGATTAGTCTTATTTCGGTTGCCTCTAAGCTATTGGCATCCATTCTGCTTCGCAGGCTATCCCCAGTACGTGAATCATACTACCGTGAAGAACAAGCTGGTTTCCGTCCTGGCTGTGGATGCGTGGATCAAATCTTCACGCTCCGCCAGCTCCTTGAACATCGCCACATTTATCACAGGCCCACTATCATTGCATTCCTAGACAAACGTGCCGCTTTTGACTCCGTTGATCGACCTGCTTCATGGCGTTGCTAACTAAAGAACGTGGTGCCAGAGAAATATACCGCCATCTTACGAGCACTTTACCTTCATACATCCGGCAGAGTGAGGGTCTATGGCAAGCTTTCCTCGCAATTCGCTGTCAATAGCGGTGTGCGACAGGACTGCCCTATGTCCCCATTCCTCTTCAACTTCGCAATCGAAGACGTTCTGTCGAATGCTCTAGAAGGTTTCCAACATTTTGGCCTAGAGTTTCTTCCGGGTGAGCGCGCGACCGACTTAGAGTATGCTGATGATATCGCCTTACTTGGTGACGATCCTCAGGGTATGCAACTCATTCTGGATCGTTTGGCGGTTGAAGCATCTAAGTATGGCATCAGTTTCGCCCCATCGAAGTGCAAAGTATTGCTCAAGGATTGGCTTTCACCTGCTCCCGTACTCACTCTCGAAGGTGCACAACTTGAACAGGTTGATAGTTTCGTCTACCTTGGGAGCTGTGTTTCTGCTGATGGCACTATCAACAAAGAAGTTTCTCTTCGTATCGCTAAAGCTCGATCAGCATTTGTCAATCTGAGGCACTTGTGGCATCGTCGTGACGTCTCATTCTCACTAAAGGGTCGCGTTTACAGCGCATCAGTTCGCTCAGTATTGTTGTATGAATGCGAGTCCTGGCCGATTCGCATGGAAGACATGCGTCGTCTTTCTGCGTTCGATAACGGTTGCTTAAGGAGGATCGCTCGTGTTTGGTGGCAACATCGAGTTAATAGTAATGACGTTCGACGTCGCATCTTGGGGAATGCGAGTATTCCCTTCAACAAACTGGTTTTGTTGCGCCAGTTGAGATGGCTCGGTCACGTCCTACGCATGGCATCTGAGCGTCTACCGCATTGCGCTCTATTCGCTCGTCAAGGACCTCGCTGGAGGCGCCCGCGTAGTGGTCAGCCTTCCACTTGGCGGCAGCACACGAAATCGCTGACGTCGTGTCTAGCCACCGTTGGATCCGTACGTCTTCCAGGATGGGGACCCAAAGATGAGGAGTGCCAATGGCTTAGCACTCTTGAAGATACGGCCCGCAACCGGAATCAGTGGAAGGATTGTGTACAGTATTGTATTGATTCACATGTTTAATACTACAAAGATTAAAATGACAAAAAAGAGCAAAAGCGGCGTGTGAAAAACAAACTAAAAATGTTTTGTTCTACTTTTTGTCAAAATGTTCCATCCTTCCTGCGGCATATTAGTTGAAGTGTGTTGCTCACCTTCAACTAGCATGCCACGATGATTATGACGCGATGAATCTTGCTTAGCTGCTGATCTCCAGGGTTTTATGTTGGCTTTGTGTCTAGTTGATAGACTGTTGCGATTACATACATACATACCCAAACGAATGGACTTTTATGACAAGAAAAGTGACAATAAAGACTCCCATATGTGCTTCCGTGGACGGATAGTAGAAGTGCCGCTGAGTGAGCACGGAATAAAGAAACACGGAATGAAAGGCTATCAAAAGAGGATAAAACGCCGTGCCTAGATTTATCTGAACTAAATGGCATGCAATGAGTAGAATTCTCACCCCCATTTTTGTTTCTTTGTTTTCTCAGCTTGTTCCCTGAGAAGACTCAGGTACTTATTTCGGCATGCTGACTGGCAATCATACAATGTTGGTAGGACGCTAATCACACAGATGGAGTGACTTTCGCACGCGTCTTTGAAGGTTTCTGGAGAGACTACCTCGACGACATCTGGGGCAGGCAATAATGCGTCAGCTTTGTCCTGTGCCCAACGAACGATGTCATCCGAAGTACGACCCCCGTCATAATCCGTTGGTTCCTGAAGTTTAGCTCCTGATGGGAAGAATTTGATAGTAGGATAGGCACCGATCTACAAGACAGAAACAAGTGAGCACAGTTAAGTAAAACAATGAGGTAGTCGAAAAGAAATGCTGCTTTGGTGCAAAGGAGTAAAGTAACGAGACTAGCGCTATCAGTGCAGTGATGCAGTTGTACAGCGAACGGTACCTAAATGCAGTTGCGACTGAAGATGTGCAGTTCCCAACATGCGGAAAAATCTGAAAATAATAACCCAAGAACTCAGGTGGTTCTTGTGCCTGCAAACCACAGTTGTTTTGAAAATTCTCCCAACTCGAGCAATGATGCATAATTAAAAGCAGGTGACCAACATGTGAGAAGACTAAGGATGTAATATCAGCCAGTGAACATAAATGGTCGAATGAAGCCGAACATTAAGGTCATGTCATGCCTTCTATGCCATCGTGTCCTGTTTAGTGACACTGGGTGATATTTTCAAGCCCTATACAGGCAAAAGGTGATAGGTCGCTGGGACCCTGTCTTAGAAGCTTTTAAACACATCGATGGTCTATCTTCCTGGTATATGCCATCAAAGATAGCTGTTTACGAGACAAAGGTCTAGCTCAACGCGCGTAAAGAACAACACTTATGACCAGTATCAAGTCCATTAGTCATAGATCTGCGATCATACGCAGGTACCAAGGCTATTGTGACTAATGAGCTATAAAATGTTTAGAGCGTGTGCCTGTTCGAAAATGTATCATATGATAAGATCAGAAAACAATTTGCCGGTACTGAGTACCGGCGCATTGCTGGAGATTTTCTTTCTTTTTCTCTCTACAGTGTGACTGGCCCATAGGGAGTTACAACAACAATGCAGTCACATTCGCGAGCAGTTTTGCATCACCATGTTACCTGAACTGCCCAAATATATGATCCGAGTACAGCACACAAAATAAACATAGTCCAGCCTCGGCCTAAGTTGTGAAAAAATTTATGGAAACAGCAGCCAAAGAATAGCTCCGATTCACGTTGTTCCGCGTCTAGTGTATTTACTGTTTATGAAGTTTAGTAACTTGAGTAGTTCTTCGATTATCAGGTTAGTCGGAAATAAACTATCTTTGATAGACTAAACCAAAGAAGCATTCGAATTCGATTGTCCACCTCCCACGCTTCCCGTCTAGGCAGTGTTGGTGCTCGTTGAATGTACTCGTAGTCCACGAATGCGAACAATCAAGCAGAACCGCAGAGTTAGATGACAATAACGATAGAATCGCCTCCCCTCCCCAAATGGCAAGAGGCCGGATAGTTACGCAGATCGAAGCATACGAATAGTGGATAGTTGTCAGAGGCACTGATGAGTTTAATCAGAACGCAGAAGGCAGTTCCAATGTGAAATCAGGCTCAAGATGTAAGGAGTAAACAGGAAGGTAGGTGAACGTGAACCAGTGAATAAGGAAGCTACAACCATTCGGGCGAGTTCAAGAGGAAGCTGACAATTAAAACAGTAGCCGAGAAAAACGGTGACTGATGCATTATCACTCAAGTCAAGTTGAACGTTGGAGCGAATACCAGAAAAAATATTTAAATAAGTTGGTGTTGCTGAAAATGTCGATTGGGTTCCTTCAAATGACCAAGCATATTCGCGTCATCTATCAGAACATTTGTGAGGGTCAACAAGAGCACAGTGCACAAGAGCGACACCGAAACTCCCTTGACTCTTATCATTATACTTGATGTTGGCCTATGGACTAACAGGCCCATAGACAAACAGGTGCTTTATAGGTGGCGGTCATTAACAGCGATCAGTAGTGCTGCAGAGACAAGGAGGGCAAAGTGAATAGAGTAGGATCATAGCCATACGGATTCTCTAATCATAGTGGGAAAATGCGTGAAAGACAATACGGAAGAGAATTCGTTGACGTTTTATCAAAAAATCGAGAGCCTTGCATCAAACTTCAACCGAACCAGTTTGGATGCGACGATTGAAGCATAACCTGTTACTGCTTTAAACCTGCTAAACAAAAAAGATATTCCGATCTGAGTACACGCTAGCTGCAACATAGCTCAATTCGAGAGCATCGCGACAAAGAGCGTACTCTAGTTATAGAAGATAAACCATATGTCTAATAAACTGCCAACCACACCCAGATCACGTGACAATGTGGGAACATTTGGTACTTTGATCTGAATACAATAACAACTATATTCAGGTGGGAAAAAGCCCTCGATGAGCTATTCCAAAAGAGGTCCAAAAACATCCCAACATCCACGTTTACTAACCTTGACTTTCGCCTTAACCATCCACTAAAACGATATCGCATGCCCCGACAGTGCATATATGATTATCACCTATGCAATAGCATGGTTACCTTTGTACATACTGATCTGTGCCGTCATAGATTCAGCTTCTCGAATTATGGGAAATATACGTATTATTACAAAGAATTCGTAAGGGGAGTTGAGTAGGAGAGGTGGGAATTCATAACATCCGGAGTTAGTCAGACAACCACCACATCACCAGCAGTGTGCATTCCATCTGACCCTTGTAAGGTTCGAACCCGCAACTCGACTGTTTGCAGTCTGTGGTCAAAAGCACTGAGCTTTGGAGGATATCAACGAAAGTCGTAAATAAGTTACTAGATGTGATATAGCGCCGCCCACTGTATATCGACATGCACGTTACTGTCGTGCAGAGAACAGAGTAATCCCCTCACCAAGTGATGAAGCTAACAAAAGGCCGTACAGTGCTTTTTTGAGCGTGTGATGGCCGTCTGACTGAGTCTAGATGTGATGAGTTTCTACTTGTACGTATTATTCTTATTATAAAAGTTGCATTTACAGAAGTGCTAAAGTAATGAATGCTTATGATATGACTATTTAAGAGAGAAAGTGGCGCTACTTATTTTAAATATCACTTCAAATCCACTTATATTCCAAAACTTCGGATGCTAAGCCAAGATCCATGAATCCCAGTAACAAATGAGGGCTGATGTAACGCAATCGCTCACCACAACATGCTGATCACAAAACGACCACGAACACTCACGCTTTCCTGGATTGGACGCACGATTATGGAACCAAATGGTGAGTTTGGAGTAGACAAACTCAATAACTTTCCCGAAAGGTGAATTCAGTTCCACATTAGCAGTACCGAATAGGTCGACACGAAACAGCGCACACTTAGGCACATGGTTGCAGCCGGAAACATGTAGGGCACTGCTGTAGGACGGGATAGATAAGAATTCAATAAATCTAATCGCCAGGCTCGATCCTGTCGCCAGTTGGTTCTTGGCAAGGAAATCTCCGGCGCCTCACTGGAATGTATGCTAAAGCTCGACCGCTTGTGATGACCATGTCATTTCCTCCTAACGCCCGTTGACCGGCTTCCTATGCATGCATTACAAACCGTCGATGCAACAAAATGGGCAAAACCGTGAGATAGCTGGTCGATGACGTGGCACAATGATATGAAGATGCTGACTGAGAGACTTGGTCAGGTTAGTACATGCCGTCTTCGCGAATGGGGGCATGGGAATGGTCCATACCAGAGGTTAGAGTATCCGATTTGGCGCTCTTGCATTCGATTACCTGCATATATGCCGATTAGTTTAAGACAATTCTTCCCCGATTCCATTCTCTTTGCATTCAACCTCTTTTGCTTACCGTTGTTGTTTTTTGTTATTCTGGCGACGCAACTCGAGGCAACTGGATCGACCGCACTTCGATGTCCGGATCATAGTTGTTTAACTGAACTGAACCGAAATGAGTTCGATCTTGGCTGTCAACACTTTTGCAGAGAAGAAATTATGTGAGTTGGAAACTACTGCTTGAAACAACACGAGCCAATGGCTAAACAACGAGCAAAACTGTATGTGTAATTTCGCGCAGTGGACAAGAACGACTTTGCAAGAATGAAGCCAAGATCGCAACAATATTGACAACGTGCAGTAATACCTGAAACGAGTGAAAAGAGAAGCAAAGCAATTCATGACAACCGTCTCATGATTTGTCGGAGCAACGCTGCTTACTAGTACGCATTAAGGATGTCATTTCGATTGTTCGTGAAACGTTCATTAATCCACTTCCCTATAAAAACCTTACGTTTAAGCTCCGTGTTCTGACGTTTGGTTCTGTTTGTATTTTCTATGCTTTGTGAGTGAAGACAGTTACGACCCATATAGCTCCATACGTGTAAAACAGCTGACTGACGAAAGAAAGATGAACGCAAGTCTCGGCAGAGTATCGACAATACGTTGGAACTCAGACTGTGTCAAGTGATGACTGGCTTCAAATTAAACGCCATTTGGCAGACTATCAACGTCAGTATAGTAATAAGAGGCGAGCAGCAAACGTTAACCGCATCTTGTGAATTAGATGTTAATTTCTAGTGTGAATACGGAAACTTGGTACAGGCGCTAGAGTCATATAGGTCAAATTTGCAATACCGTATTCGATTTTACTTTCTACTTCCCAGCAAGCTTAGTTTGCATCCCATAGCTGAAGAAATATAAGGCATCTAAACGGTTCATTTGTAGAATGAGAGTAAAATACGGGAAAGACCGGGAGACAATGGGAGCAGATATGCAGGATAAGTTTGATTATTCAGCCAAATTGGGTTACCTATTTTAGGACATGGTAACCCTATTCCCACGCCTTTCCACTCAAACCCTCGCAGAAAATTACGTTTATTTCGAAAAATTACATATGAAACATTCTACGTCTTCCCCTCGCACTACTGCCATATCTTGCACTCTACAAGGTTAAGTAGTTCACACTTGGCATACTGCACATTGGCGAACTGCTACGCCGTACCGTTTCCGTTTTTTGCATTAGGATTGCAAACCTACTCGTAAGTTGAGTACCGTCTTTAATTTGAATTAGAAAACTATGGTAACAGGAATTTACGTTTTATCTTCTCTGCGTGCGTATAGTATAGATTTACTAGCTAATAGCTTTCCTATCTGATCTCGTGCGAGTACTTAGTCTACAGTGAACACAGAACTCACCAGAAGAGGCATTCAAGTGACTGAACGGGAACTGCAATACAGAAATATCAAGAATTTCGGGCTGGACAATCCTGTTAGATGGCAAACATTACTATTGTCTTTTTACTGGTTCGTCCCAGAAGCACACAAGTCAAATAGTCAAACTCCCATCCGGAAAGGTACTAGACAATCGTTTTGTCCCATTGGAGAACGTCAGTGGTGCACATTCTCATGGTCCCCTACAGGGAACCGAACCTGTGACCGCTAGCAGGTGGCACCAGCTAGCCAGAAGTCCATGCGACTAACACATTGGAGACGGTGGCGGTCCGTCATAACTTGCAGTCTAACTGGGAGATGGCGCAAGCTATCTTCCATTGCCATACACGTCACCACCACCATTGCATAGGACAGTGGATGGTCACGACTTCCACCACATGGTAGCAATGTGCGCACAGCGTTTAAAGACTGCGAGGGCCAATTTCTTTGAGTCAGGGGAATTTTGATAACATTGTTGTAAGTTCACTTGTTGCAACATTTGCGTGCATGGATCGGAACAAGGAATGGCAACCAGAATAAGTGCGAAGTGAATCTCGGTGGAATCGATCACTGGAACAGATGAATGTAACATGCCATCTGTTTGCTGCACCGTACTCCGTGACTAGGTTATCGCTTGGATGCACGCGTCAAGCAGGTATAGCAAAACTGAGATTCCAATCAGAGACCTAAGGACCATCGGGTGAAACCATAAGTCAAACGACGCCGAACACAACGGTTAGTGACTCACTGTGGGTGCATTTTGAAACTCTAGTTGTGTCGTTGGACTGGGACATCCAACTCGGTCGTACCTGGGTGTATAAAAATCTGTCACTCATGGTTAGGTGGCATTCCCAATCCGTAACCATTAAACTTAATGAGTGTGTCACGTAGAAACATCGCAGAGTAATCAGCAATGTGTCCACTAAAAAACCATCAGCGAAAGTAAAAACGACGTCAGTTCTTTTGACATTCTCTGCTGGCTCTTCTTCATGGCATATGCCCATACCATCGATCTGCATATGGTTGGCGGCATCCGGTTTCGGATTTGCCTGTCACTGTGGCAAGCCACAGGACGCCTGCGCCTACAGAAGGACCATGGATGGCTTGCGCTGCACCACCCACAGCTCCAACCACATACCCCATATCCAGTGTAAACCCGAAGGAATAAGACCGGGAGGCATGCGGATGGGAACCACGTTTCATCAACGGAGCCGGCCCACACTCCTTCACAGCCAAACACAAGCACGCTGTATTTGGGGAATCAACCGCACACAAGGCGGTGGCTGAACCGTAGTCCACTCCACACTGAGTGCATGGAACCGCTCTTTGAGCCTAGCACGGCCACAAGAACCGTGCACCCCGTCCCCTCCAGCAACGACCAACTGTCTCCTGGAGCCAGTATGAACGATGTAGTGGGTAATAGACAGGTAGGCACCTTGTCAACATACACATCAAGCGCAACCACACCGGGGATATCAAACAACATCCATTCACTTTAAACGACAAGCTGAAATAAAATAAATCCAATAATGCATACAGATACGGTGGCATAACTCTTCCCTAAATTACCATATGAAGTAAGTTGGTTAGCAACAAATCCGTGATAAGTAAGAAATGTCCACAAGTTACTTAAAATGCTACAAACGCAACAAAATTACCGAAGATAAGCGCAATTAGTGTAAGCAACGTGGCCAGTTAATAGAACATTATTCAGGGAGGCAGAACAAACCAAATAAAGCGGAATGAAATTTAGCCAGCTTAAAAAGACCTAGTTTAAGTGTAAGTTGGTTTAGCCCAACTGCGGTGAAGAAGCATCAAGAATGCGACATCTGCATATACCTACGACAATAAACAAGAGGGGCACAGTGACACCTGGCACATACACCAAAGCAAGGACCAGGAACTCAGGTGAAAAGTGTAGGATGTTCGTCAGTTCCGCCACGGAGTTATGTGGGCTGATTAAGTTGGCCAGATGACGAGACCATGAAAATGCAAAATTAACGGGTGTGGAATAGGGTGCCTCACAAAGTCCCTAAAGAAAATAAAGAAAACTTCTTGAAGTAGACACTAAATGACCTGGGTTTAATCGTAGACCTCGCTACTGAGGTGAGGAGTGGGTTAATGAGATTAAGCAGGCATTGCTACTCGCACGTGTACAGAGGAGACTAGGTTTACGAAGTTTTACCACGGTCAGCCAGTTGACCAGATCGATGCCCTGTTAAGGCTTTGGCGCTAAATATCAACGGATAACTCACGTTGTATTTAGCTGTTAGCCTTGAGTGTACAGTTGCGTCTACCGCACCGACTTTCATGATTCCCTTCAATTCAGTAGCAGCCCGCTCCCAATGAGGTTTGAGATTCTTACCTAAATGAAAAGAAAAGGAGAAGCAGTAAGAGAAGGAAAATGACACATGAATGAAAGCTGATTACGCTAGAAACGGGTTTATTCAATGACGCCTATAAAGTTCAATATAACAAACAAAAAAATGCGGAATTTGGAATGAATGAAAGTATAGTGTTCCCATTCTGCAATGCACAAATAAATAGTTGGACTCAGATGGGACCACAGAGCACCACACATCGTGATCATGGGTTTGTGAGACGGCATCATTAACATCACCAGGGTGAGAAACACACAACGAGTATTGTGGCGCAAACAAGATAATTAACATTACAGAATAAAAAAATAAAGCAATACAAGGTCAAATATCATACCGTTCATCAGCTATCGGATCGAGACTGGAGGTGGCAAGATAAGAAAAGGAACGCGAAAAACCTCAAAGGACAAACGGATGGAGGCCAGCTCTCCACAATGTAAAACCTGTATCGAAACAAACGTGTAAACGGTTCATCAGTACACTGCCAGGCAGTCGGGAGATACCAATCGAAGCAAAGTTTGAAGTAATCGCCTTCAGTCCTCTTGACCAAATCATCGTTTGGCCAACTCTCCTCTTCTTCCATCCACACCCTCTCGAGGAAGTCAATGTGCTGACATGCGCAACTCGTGGCCCAGCCATCGGAGCGTGGCGCGTGAGATAACAGTGCTGAGCAGTTCCATCGCTTCTCCTGCACCGAAAACACGACACCGTACACGTCCACTGCTCACGCAGTGCTCCGACAGCGATGACCAAAGGTAACTGAGCTCTTTAGGTCTATCGACTTGATGGGCCCGGTTTCCCAGCCATACAGCAGGGCTGAGTGGACGGCTGCATTGTAAACTGTGCTCCTCAGGGCGAATGTAATGTCGCACCGGCGCCACTAGTGGCATGGATTAGCAAAAGTGCCTCCAGCTTTTGCTATGCGGTTTGTGATCTCAGCTGCCATTCTACTGACGCTGATATAGCTGCCAAGATACTTGCATTTCTCGACGACTTCTAGCTGATCACCACGGGAGATATTGAAGGACGGCGAAAGCTTGCCTTACATTCGAACTATGCACCTAAAGCGCTCTGATTATGCTTAAGTATTTTTTCGGACACGCCTTTCATATGCAGACAGTCACAAAAGGCACATCGATCAACCGAATCGATGGCACATTAGATGTCGCCGAACACGACTACGGTGACCCGCCAATAAGTGTGGCAATCCTCCAACAATCGACGTAGTGTGTAGATGTGATCAGTGCAACCGCGACTTCGACGGAACCCGGCTTACTCTCCAGGAATCTGGCTTTCACCGGTTACAGCAAGTGCCTGAAGAACGACAGAGGCGCGTTTCTTCGAGACAATTGAGATCAGCGTCATCTCTCTATGATTGCCGCAATTGAAACATGAGACCCCGTTGAAAATCGGAACTTATACGGAGCCGCTCCCATCTGTTGGGACAGTTTTATTCTCCCACAGCGTCAAACGTAATTTGTGCAGATCACCTACAAAAGGTAGGGGAAGACTATCTGCTACTGCGCCATTGTTCACTATTTGCAGTCGGATTTCACGTTCGACTTCTGCGCGTGAACGCGGGTCCAGTGGGACAGCCCACGGAGAAGGGCGGTCAATGGCGCATAAAGAATATGGCAACTGTTGATTGAGTTGCTTTTCAAAGTGTTCAGCCCAGCGCTCTGAGCGCTTTGACAAACTGTGGACCGACCATTCACACTCGTCACGAATGATCTCGCAAACACCAGGTGTCTGTCTGTCCGTCTCGCGTATCAGACAGAATAACTCCCGGTGATTACCTAGGGAAGTGGTCACTACCAGCTCGAATGCATGGTGAGACCATGAGGCTTTGCACTTCTTCTCTAGGTAAGCATGCACTTTCGCCCTGAGACCTTTGCGACTCATTGTATTCGTTCCCGGCCGGAATACGTCGGCGAGCATCCAGAAGTTCCAGAACTCTGTGGGGATCCAATGTTCATGTCGACAATCTGATTTACCATCTGGAAACACGTCTGCTGCGAATAACGTCTGGTGGGCATGCGACCATTGAGCGCCTGCTGAAATCGAAAGCCAGCGTATTTTGTTGCACATTCAGAACATCTGACTGCGCCAACTGGCATGTATCTATGCGCTCACAGCGTCCTCCGTCGAAACGTACCTGCAGGTCGGCACATACCAGTGTGTGGCCGGAGTCCATGCTCCTGCTCCAAATCGAGCGGCAGTTCTGGACAGTCTCTCTGGCGGTAACTGATCGCGATGTGATCCATTTGCGTCCATGGCTGGTGCGCATCATGTCTCTTCTGTGGATGCTGTGTCGGAAATTAGTGCTCGCAAGAAAAAGAAGAGCATCTTCACACAGCTATAGCAACCGCTCACCGTTATCATTACGGCAGCCTACACCGTGTTGACCACCCACGTATAGCTCATCAGTGGACAGTTTTCTAACTTACACGTTCACCACCCGCGCTTCTTCTGTGACGGCGGAGGTCATTTAGTTGGCGATAGAAGTCGTCTTTCACCGAGTCAGCGCTACGGTTTGTGGGCGCGTATGCAGCGATGCCAAACAAGCTCCACTCGTCCCTATGCGACTCCGAAACTTTGAACGAGCCAGTCAATCTTACGGCACATATTCGGCTGTTGATTGGGATCCAATCGATCAGGGCGGCTTCAGCCCGAGGAATCAAAACAATATCCACACCGGCTTGACCGATAGTTGAAGCTGCGTCACATCCGGACAAACGCAACGTAAAGGTGCCGACAGTGTTGATTGTTTGAGGATCACAGGGTAAGCACAGAACTCGGATCTTGCAGGCAGGTTTCTGATATATAGCAGATGTCGATCGATCGGGTCTCTAGTGTTTGGTCAAGTACCTCCTGTTAGCCATTATGCAATGAAGTGCGCACGTTGGGGAATGTTACTTTTAGAGAGGACTAGGGTCCTCATATATAAAAGGATGAACTGACGTTGACCGCCTGGTTTAACATGGACTTGTCGACTGGATTGGAGCCATGCTCCGTGTTTGTGTGTAAGTTGAAACTTAAAGACAAACAACTATTGAAGCAAGATGTGGGAGAGCCAAGAACTGGGGGCTTGAAAACAGGGAAAGTGAGAGTAAAGTCGAAAGGAGGGGATAAAGATGTAAGTCGGACAGCTGGATGAGCTGGGCGAAATGCATAGATAACGTGGTCTGCGATAAAAGCATTCAGTAGGATAAGTGATAATCGCGGAACACAGATTGTCAGTGAACACAAAACGGAAGTAGAGATGCACTTACAATGACCACACCAGGGAGCGAAAAATTCTACCAACCAAGGGTCTTCGCTGCGTAACACGGTCTCATCGAAATTATCATCAGTTAGCTGAATGACATCTGTACCCCCGCGACTGTCGTCCTAAAATTAACAATGGGCAAGAGTGAAAGCATATTGGCTGGGAAGTTAAGTAGTATTCTGGGCAACATAAAACGAAAAATATTTGCGCCAAATTTCATTACAGACGGTAAAAAGCATTCGCGGTAGTAGCATAGTAGTTGTGCATCGTTGCCATACAATCACGAAGAAAGCTTAGAAAATCTGTGTAATTTAGCCGGTCAATTATGTTCCGGGCTCAAAAATGCAATCAACTCTGTTACATATGCAAACCTCGTCTAAACTATGATGACAAGCACCAACTCGATTGGACAGTTCCGAGTTTCTTTGTGCTTTTTAACACATGCCACTGAGCGAGTACCTCGAAGAAACATCCAATATTGCGTAGTATTTGCAAACAAAAATGCCGTGGTTTCCGGTATGTAGGGAGCGAAACCAACGATCGTTCCTTCGAACGTGATTCAAGATCAAAGTAGTGATGATACGAAGATTAGACAAAGCATGTCCTACAAAAATAAGGGGAAACTGTAGACTAGTAAAGCTAGACTGTACGCACAGTCTGGGCAGTCAATACCCCTTACCGTGGTCCGTTAATTCAGATAAAAGATAATAGAAAACTTACGAATAAGATTCCAATATTAATGTCAGAAATAAGAGGACGTATGACAGAGTGCATAAAAGTTATAATGTAGCAGTTCGCTAACCGGCAGTTTGTCAATAGTGACATTCTCGGATCGCGCGAAGTCAAAATATGCTTATGGTTTAAAGAAAAAACTTTTGATGAATAAGAAAGCAAGCGTTTAGAGCACACAGGTGTAAAATTATGGATGAAAATAGTGAAAGGGCTTGAGGATAGGTATAACATGTTCCTAAGCAGAAAATTCGGTTTGAGGATGAGACTGCACTTTACAACCAACATCCGCATTGCTAGGATCGTAGCACTAAGGATCACAAGTCCGCCTTGTAATCCAAGGGCGCGGGTTCGAGCCTGCATAGGGGACCGGGTAACCCTTGCAGTATCCGTAGTCTACGTGTGACTAGTGGTGGTTGCGTGGCAGCGTAGCGCCGGTCCTGCGTATCGGCATACTGCAGATGTCTTCTTTTATCCACTGTTCTACTAGGGGCCTGTTGCCACTTAAGCAAAGGTTCGCAGGTACATGTACCAAATATATTAGGGTAACATACTGAGCACACAGTCAGATAGCGCTCTTCATCTGTAGTCTGTACTACGGTAAGATGCCTTATTGTTTCAGTATCCATGGAGGACTTAGTACATTCCAACACTTTGTGATCTGTTTCTATGTGAAATCTTTGACCCAGCAACTACAGCCGCCATTTGTTCAATGCCTAGACATGTGCGAGATACCCAGCCAATGTCGAATACTTGCTTTTGGTTGTGTTAAAACTCTACTGGCGTATTCAACCATTCCCTGCTTTAGCACCGCCCCAATTCCGACGTAGCCAACGTCTGTGAGCACATTGAACATTCCTTCGACGCTCGGCAATTGTGACGTCAGTCTCGGAATCCATTTTTGCTGAATGTCGTCAAACCTTGACCAGGCTTCTGTCGTGCAACTGGATTTTTTTCCTTATCCTAAAAGTGCATCCAGAGATAACAATAAATTGTCAAAATTTCTGTTAAATTTACTGTAGTATCCGACGTGGCTCATAAGCACTTTGAGGCAGTGTTTTGTTATCACCATCATCGTTACACATTAGCTGAAGGTGAGAAACACGTCAACTATTGTGTTTTGAAGTAGGAACTGGCGTGGTTTGAGCTCTTAACATTTACTCCGACCGACCTTAGCTCCCTGTGACTCATCTGATGGACAAGTGGTGTTACAAAAGTCTTATCGATCTGAAATTTACGCCCGTTTATGCGTTCTGACTAATCAGTTCGTTGCAACGTTGTGTCCCCAATGATGGCAATGCCCGGTATTTGATTGATATTACGAGATCATCTATGTACAAGACCACATGCTCCAAGCCATCTAATAGGCGCAGCATCAAACACCACGAGGCAGACAGAGCATTCGACAAGTCAAATGTCTTTCTTTTTATACCGGTACTGCAGCATGCCTACTGTAAACTCGGTCTTTTTCCAGTTTTCTCGTTTGGTCTCCAGCTGTCAGATCCAATGCCGGAAATATCTAAGACTGCTGCAGTCAGTCAGAGACGTCTGTAGCTGATGGCACTGGGACGCAACAACGCAACGAGACTTCATCCAGCCATGCAGAAGCCATCAGCTTGGTCTTCTTAACTAAAACAGCCGTGCGCTTATTCGAATATATCGGTATTGAATAGCTATTGTATTTGTTTCCAGGGGAGCCTTTGGCATATGAACAGCGGTTTTTGCACACAGAATGCCGGTTTTATCCTGCTGATAGCGACAGCCTCGGCGAAACGTAGGAAGCAGGTGTTAGAATGTCTCAACAAGATAGGGTCGAACGGATGAGAAGTGGCCAATAAGTGTCTACCTATGGAGGCAGGTGGCTTTCGTGAATAAGTGAGAGATGAAGCGGAAGACTAGCTAATTTCACGCTGCACCTACTTAGGCACATGTTCTCTCGCTCTGGAATTCAACAATCGATACGGCCGATGTAGCGTGACTCGCAGGTACAAGCGAACTGGCGCCGACAGGTTGTCTTTTCTACGTTCGGGGAAGACCTTTTGCTGGTTCCGTTAATAAGGACAGCTCCGGCAGCATAATAAGTCTGGTGAACAGCGGAAATTATGCGCTTGGCTGTCCTCATGGTGACAAAATCACCTTTAAACGGTAGTTTTATAAAGATCTTTCTATACACAGTGAGAATGTTCGCTTTCGCCACTCTCGTCTGGCTATGGTGTGCAATAAACCGGCGAGCATAACCGACTTTCAGGAGCGCATCGATCAACAGTTCCTATTCCTCCAGGCAAGCAGGGCTGCATATTTTTCGCGTGCCATTAAATAAAATCTTGACTAGTGTCCGCTTGTACCGCATTGGAATGAAGCCGGTAAAATGTAGGCACTGTCCGGACCATCTTGATTTCCGGTAAACAGATCTCTTGACAAGACCCTTTTCTTTACGACTAACAAGTACGTCCAAAAATGGGAGACAGTGGTTACATTCTACTTCGGTGGTTACTCTAAAATTGGGATGCACACTATTAAAAAGTTCGACAAGACGTGTAATCTGCGTTTTTGATGGACAGAACACTACAATATCGTCCAGGTAGCGTCTGTAGTAGGAAAGGCGGAAAATTGCTGCACCCATCTTTGTACCCACCATGAACATGAAGAATTTCGCTAATACTGGACCCAATGGACTTCCCAGTGCTTCATCATCTATCTGGCGGTACGGGGTGTTTCGAGAGTGGAAAGTGATATTTTCAGTGCAAAGTAACAGGGTATCTTTTATTAGCTCAGTTGATATTGGAAGAAATAAGTTTGAATGGTCAACCAACTCACACACATAATCAATGGTCTCACGTAGTGGAACGTTTGTAAACAACGACTGTACATCTAGTGAACCCATGATAATATCTCACAAGTCTATGCTGTCAAGAGTTTCCATGAGTTCAAAAAAGTCCTTGATACTATGTGGAATAGCATGCTTCTTTAACGGTGTAAAAATGTCCACAAGCCAGCGAGCAAGCTTGTGTTGCGGGGAATTTACCTTTGATAGAATGGGTCTGAAGGTGCACCACTCTTCGGCAACCCGTACAAATGTGGCGTGGTGGAGCCACTCGGTTTTAGACTATTATACGTTCTCTCGTCGATCGTTCGATGTGAAAGAAGTATTTTAGGTGATTTGTGATGCGACTTTCTATATCACAAATACCGTCCACACTTTAGATGTCTAAATTTGCTTTCCTTGTTAGGTATAACCTGTATCTTTTGCACGTAATCCGCCGTGTTCACAACAACGGCTCCGGAGCCCTTGTCTTGTCTAAGTACCAGTACAGCCTTGGTCTCCAGTCCTCGAATTGCATGAAGATGACGTTTTGTAAGTGCACATTCTTACTTCACTGGGTTCAATATGAGCTCGTGCGCAATATCAGCTAATTTGTTTTTAAAACAGTTAAGTTTATAGGCACTATCCGGCTGGAGGTCTGTTAACTGATCGAAGAAGTTCTCAAACTGCCTCAATTAACAAACGGTTTAGCTAACGAGGAGGAATGTTATAATCCAATTGGCACTGACGAGGCAATATGAAGTGTTAACAAATGTCAGCTTTGGTCTTCGCACTGCGTTACCCGTGAATTGGCAAGCTCCGTGGTCAATACGGCCGCTACATCTCACGCGACAGTGGAATCATGTGCTCAGTGCCATCACAAAATCTATAGGGACTAATGTCGTCTGAAGAAGGTGATGGTACATTACAAGCGATAACAAGGAAAGACGTACGTGTAAGACGGCAACTACCGAGTACAACCGGACAGCGGCATAAGCCCGTCAACTATTCTCGTTTCAAATTGACAATATCCACATTGATTTGAGTAAAGTCGACCCCCAGGATGGTTTGTTTTGCTTGGGGCGACACAACAGGCTTGACTCGGCTTCCACCTTATGGTACTAACAATGTGCTCCACTACGGTATGTATGCGTACCTTATAACCGTTGGTAGTTCTCACGACCACAAAGCACATTTCAAATTCTTCGCTACCTCGGTGGCAGCTCAGATATACTGCGGCACCCATCATAAAGTCTAGTTCTACTACCGCTTCAGTCGCATCCTTAACTAGCGCCTCAGAACGTATCTCTCGACTCGCGAAGATGAAGCAAATTTGATACAAGGAGCGCGAGACATCGTCGCCACGAGTAACACGCTTTTCTGCAGAGGAAGAAGCATCCCTTCAATCAACCCACTGTCGGCACTACGTAGCGTTTGTCCGGATGTGACGCAGCTCCAAATATCGGTCAAGCCGGTGTGGATATTGTTTTGATTCCTCGGGCTGAAGCCGCCCTGATCGATTGGATCCCAATCAACAGCCGAATATGTGCCGTAAGATTGACTGGCTCGTTCAAAGTTTCGGAGTCGCAT